AAAAATATAAATGTATTATAAAATTTATACAAAATTAATTTAAAATATCATAATTAATGAATTTTAGAATATAAATTATACAAACCTATAAAAAATATAGAGTCAAATTAAACCCTAACCTTCTCAGAACCAGCCGAGGCTCTAGAAAAAACAAAAATGTCGAGCCTTCCACTGGATTTGAGTACCCGAATCCTCTGCCTGTTATCCGTGAAGGACGTTCTTCGCTTCCGGTGCGTTTCAAAGCCATGGTGCTCCCTAATTGACTCTCCAGGTGTCCGCAAACTCCTTCTCTCCTCCCCCAATCTTTTTGCTATCTTCCAAGATAAAAAGAGCAACTTGAGCAAGCTCCTGCACTTGGAAGTCTCATCAATTCTTCCCCCTCCTGAAATCATACCTGTGCAACCTCACCACAATACAGATTGTATTGTGGGTTCCTGCGACGGGTTGGTTGCTTTGCGCAATAAAGAGAATATCATTACTCTGTGGAATACTTTCACCAGAGAATCAAGGAAATTGCCCCAAAGTAATATGAAGTCATTAGAGTGTGATTCTGTGTCAATTGCTTATGGATTTGGTTACGACCCTACCACGGAGGATTACAAAGTGCTCAAGAGTGCTCACTTCAACTACTACGAAGACTTACATCATCCCTCTTTTTCCTCGAAAGCTGAGATTTATAGTCTGAAGACTAATTCTTGGAAGGAAATCGATGGCTGTCATTTTCGTTGTGGTTGGTCAGGGAATGATCCTGGAATTCTTGCTGAGAATGCACTGCATTGGCTAATTCAAACCTATGACACAGAACCGGTATCTATTCCCATGCATCGAGAGATTGTTGGTTTTGACTTGGTAGGTGAAGTATTTTATAGTGTACCAATTCCAGACTGCTTCTACAGAGCATTTAGTATGACTGTGGCAGCCCTAGACGGTCGTCTTTGTATAGCTGCTAGTTATAAGAACGGTTGTGTTGATGTGTGGATTACGGAGTATGGAGTCAAGGAATCTTGGAATAAGGCAATTTCTATGATGCAGGAAAAAGTA